TGAAACAATGGTCCTTACATCAATTAGATGTTCAGAATGCCTTTCTCCATGGTGATTTACATGAAGAAGTGTATATGTCATTGCCTCCTGGACATCCTCGCAAGGGGGAGCATGGTCTTGTCTGCAAGTTGAACAAATCCCTTTATGGTCTTAAGCAAGCATCACGCAATTGGTTTGCCAAATTTTCTCATGCTTTACTTGCTATTGGATTTACTCAATCATCTGCAGATTACTCCCTCTTTTCTTTGTCTCGTGGAGCTTCATGTGTTTATGTCTTGGTATATGTCGATGATATGGTGATCACAGGTAGTAGTCCTCAACTAATCAACCAGGTGAAAGAATTCTTATTTAGTCAATTTCGCCTTAAGGACTTAGGTCCTCTCAAATATTTTCTGGGTATTGAGGTTGCTTCTTCCCCTCAAGGGCTCTATCTTTCTCAACGTAAGTACACTATTGAGCTTCTTAATGACGCTGGTCTTCTTGGATCTCGAACTGTTGATACACCTATGGAGCAGAATCTAAAGCTTCTTCCTTCTGATGGTTCTCCTCTTATTGATGGTTCCATGTATCACCGTCTAATTGGTCGTCTCATATATCTCACCATTACAAGGCCGGATATCTCCTTTACAGTAAACACATTGAGTCAATTTCTTCAGTCTCCTCAGAAATGTCACTTGGATGCAGCACATCGATTGCTTCGATATTTAAAGAAAACCCCAGGTCAAGGTATTTTACTTTCTTCTAAGGGTTCTCTCCAATTGACTGCTTTTTGTGATTCTGATTGGGCAAGTTGTCTCACCACTCGACGCTCCACCACCGGTTACTGCATCTTTCTTGGTAATAGTCCTATTTCTTGGAAGAGTAAGAAGCAAAACACAGTCTCTCTTTCTTCTGCTGAGGCTGAGTACCGTGCCATGGCCACCACCACTAAAGAAATTATCTGGTTGCATAGCTTATTGTCCACCTTTGGCATTCAACTCCCTACTCCTACTCCATTATATTGTGACAATCGAGCTGCCCGTCATATAGCTGCTAATCCTGTTTTCCATGAAAGAACAAAGCATCTTGAGATAGATTGTCATGTTGTTCGTGAGAAATACCAAGCTGGTCTTATTCTTCCACTCTCTATTGCTTCTGCAGATCAACCTGCTGATATCTTCACAAAGGCATTAGGCAAAGATCGCTTCTTCTATCTTTGTGACAAGCTGGGCATTCGGAATTTTCATGCTCCAGCTTGAGGGGGAGTATTGGAGATAATTATGGTTTTAGATTGCAGATAATTATGGATTTAGTATATCTGGTATTTATTTAAATTATCTGGTATATCTGAAATATATTTGGCATATCTGGACTTATCTCATAGAATTTCTTAGTTATTATTTAGTAGGATTCTCAGCTGATTTAACTCAATTGATTTAGTCGTCTTTTACTCTGATTCCTTGTATATATGATGTACTGATCTTTTTCAAAGAAATATACAGAAATAGTATTCCATTCATAAACTTATCACAGTCAAATAAAATCAAATCTGGTAATAAATTCATGCATGAATTCGATGGGAATTTCAAGTCTGCCGGCGGAGAATTAAGTGTGCTCACCGGGAAACTTCCTCCCACAACGGACCTTTAAGACATGAGTCGCTAAAGGCGGCATCCAAATCGGAACGTATCTTCAATAAGGCCAGAGTCTCCTGCTTTGGCCACCGTTTCCCTCCAAAGCTCCGATTGCCTTCATTGATCCTCTCCTTATCTTCCTCCCCTGAATTCGATGCAACCACGCCGAATTCTCCATCTTCAGGAACTGCAGCTGCCGCCATGGCCTCCCTGGAGCCTTCCTTCAGCATAGGAATGTTTCGGCAATTACAGCCTGATGACAAGAAAATAGTAGCATAAGGTGAAATATATCAAGAGGGATTGTTTATGGTGAATTTATTACTATAAATCATTTCTGGTGACATTTCTGGTGAGGATCTGTTTGACAGTCTCGGAAAAAAAAAAAAAGAAAACAAATGGGAAAACGTGAACTTTTTCCAACGTACTGGTGCACAGGGAATCCTCAGTATTTCTTTTTCATTTTCCACCTTCTTTATTTATATATAAAACGAAATACCAGAAGTTTTAACTGTTGCTTTATCATTTGCACATTACTTCCTAACTTTAACCAATGTTTTTAAACCCGGCCCGGCCCGGCCGGTTGAACCGGTTGAACCGGACCCGGGCCTGAAAACGGGCCGGTTGAAGGCTTCAGCCCGTTTAGGTGAATGGCCCGTTGAAACCCGTTGAAACCCGGCAAGCCCGTCCTACCCGCTGGACTCGTGCGACCCGCCATGCTCGCCCGGGCTGAAATTTTCAGTTTTTCACCATTTTTTTAATTTTAAGTTTTTGTCTTTTTTGCTTAAATTAAAGTTTAAAACCTAAATTAAAAATTAATTAAACTAATTAACTAACTAAAAACCAAAAACTAAAAACTAAAAACCCTAAGAATCTAACATCTAAGATCATCAGGAGCTCGGGACACTGGAAAGTGGAAACTGGAAAGTGGAAACAAATTGCAAAACCCAGATTCAGGAGGAACCAAGTACCAACAGAACTGCAGAAGGGTCTTCCGCCGATCATCCGCCGATCTTCTCTTGGCCGATCGTCCGTCGATTTCTCTTCCACCGTTCGTCCGTCGATCTTCTCCTCTGTCACTGCACTTCTTCTCTTTCGCCGATCTTCACCATCTACCTCATCTGATTGGCTCAAAACAGAACAGATCGTCTCGGGAAAGTGGTTTCTCTCCTCTGCTGAGCACCTCCTCCTCATCTCCTCTGTCACTGCACTTCTTCTCTTCCGCCGATCTTCACCATCTACCTCATCTGATTGGCTCAAAACAGAACAGATCATCTTCGGGAAAGTGGTTTCTCTCCTCTGCTGAGCACCTCCTCCTCATCTCCTCCATCGCTGCCCTCCTTCTCTTCCTCATCTCCTCTGTCAGTGCCCTTCTTCTCTCTGCTCCACCGAACAGAAGCAATAGTAAAAATGGAGTAAAACTAACCTACAACAGTAAAATTCAATAAAAATGTAAAAAAAAAAAATTTTTTTTAGTTGACCGGTTGAACCGGTCGGGTGAACCGGTTCAACCGGTTGACCCGGACCCGGTGGTCAAACCGGGCCAGCCACCGGGCCGGGTTCAAAAACATTGACTTTAACTTTA